GCAAACATGGGTATATGGATGGATAGATGGGTGGACAGGCTAAATGATTAGGTATGTCTATGTATCTTTATTTCTACATTGTAAACTTACTCAAGCAAATCACTCTCTTTTATATTTTACAGGACCCAGGCATACTAACATAGTCAAGCTAAATTTCAGGGTAATAGTATCTGGTTCCATTACTCCCACACTGTATTTTGCCTCTTCATGTTAACATAACTCCCTTAGAGTGTCTCACTTGTCTACGGTCCTTCTACTCCTCCCGGATACTACTAATATACTCATGATCAGAGATGAGAAGAATGGAGAGATAAAGTAGCCAGGAAAGAAACTAGAATACCCAATTTTAGTCCCTGGAAGTTTATCCAGTATCTGATTTATAAATACTTATCAGTGATGAGAGCAGGTTGAAGCGTATCACTGGTGAAATGAAATCAAGGTATGAATGACTATTAAACATGAGGCAAAGTTAGAACATAATGATTTCAGTTAAAACGTTTCTATCCCTCTCATATAAAGACAAAGAAACAAACAAAACAACTTACCAGTTAAGTTTCAAACAGTTAATCCATCAAAGGTCATCAGTGCTATGACTGTTTCTGGTAACATACCATGTGACAACTTAGAAATAACTTAATCAGATAAAGAACCAGCATGTGGAAGGAATTTTAGAGAATGGTCTCTTACTTCTGGGTTATACGGTCTTTTCAAAATGTGGGAAAACCTACATTAACAATTTATCAAACTCCTTAATTGGTTAATGTCTCTTCCAGTTATAGTATGTAAAAGCTTCCAAATATCTTGCTTCAAAAGCCACATGGTAAATTTCATTAAGCATACTTACTGCTGGTTTGAGTGGCTGCAGAATTTATCTGTACTTGTTCAGTTGATCCTGTCTGAATTAAAAATGAATAGGTAAGTAAAGAAGTTCCTGATAACATATCCAAGAAGACCTATTTACTAAACAATTGCTCTTACTTGGTTACTGTTGGATTCCACAGTAATAGAATCAACTCCAATGGCTCTTTCTGCAGCACAGTGGACATGAAGGATCTCCTGAGCTTGATCTACAATAGCCCTCAATTCTTCTACAAATTTTTCTTTCTCAACTTCTAGCACAAAGTTATCTTCGACCTGCCAAATGTAAAAGTAATTCTATTTATGAGTATGACATTAACTTCTTCAAAATTGTAATACTGTATCAATGGTGACCACAATGAAGAAAAATATTAAAATTGAGTATCCAGCTCTCAATGCTAAAACAGTTAACAAAGACCAGTAATAAAATGGGATATAATACATTAAGCTGTTGTTAAAATGCTGACACCACTGACACCTGTCAGATTGGCACAACCAATTAAAGAAGTCGTCATTTTAAAAAATATCTGGTGTTGTACATATGGATTACAATTTGAATATCATAAATGAGGCACACATTTGAATCACCCAGGGAGCTTTACAAACTTCTGAGGCTTAGGTCTCACTTCCATAGATTCTGCTTTAATTAGAGACCAAGAAATGGGATTATTTAAAAAATGCTCTTCAGGAGAAGGGCAATGTACCAAATGAGAGTGACCAATATGGCACCACTGAGGATGAGAAAGACATAGAGAGGTACATGGGAGGTACAGACAACAAA